GTACATATAATATACATATATATGTACATATTTATATATATATACATACATGTACACACACACACACACACACACACACACACACATACATTTACCAGAGAACGTGTATAGTTATGGACAGACTATGAAAAGTTGTACGTACGAACGAGCAGACGATTTTTGTTTTAACATACAGGGCATTTAACCCTCGGACAGTGAGGCGTAGTTTTTATTTTGGTTTAGGTTCGCCGGCGTGTTGCTTTTTCTACATGTGTACTTGGATTCTCGAAATTCCTTGGAAACTTTTTGTAAAATGTCACACCTCTTGAATTGTTTTTAGCTTTTTAGCAGTTTTTATTTATTTTCTAGTATAAAGAACAATCGAAAGGTATTTACTAAGTAGTTTCATAATTATTCAGTTTCTCAAATTCTCAATTTCTCAGTCGCTGCGAGATTTCTAAATAATCGGAGAACTAATTTCGAGTATATCAGAAAGGGCCAACATGGTCGTGAAGATTCTTCAGGCGCGTGAATTTTTTAAAACACACGGGGTGTCCCTAGAATCCTCATTGACGGTTTTCACGAGAAGTATTTGAACGAAAATTAACATCAGTTCCATTCTCATCGTATCAACATTTCGATAATCCCATTGTTGATAAATTTTTGTTAATAACATCGCAGTATATATTCATGATAGTGAAGAAGCTCATTTAATTCTGTCCGTTTATACTTTCACTAAATGAAAATAAAAAAAAAATGCACTAGCTTCTGCCTAGTAAAAGTTCAAATATCATTGCCAGTGAATACATTTGCTTATCAAATTAGTATGCGCATACATTGACTGGCTGGTTTATACATCTACCGAATTAATACATTTGCTGCAACGTACACACACACACACACACACACACATATATAAGTACAGTCAGTGAGAACAATATAGCGAGCATTAAAATTCACTTGGTATATTTTGGAGCGATCACAAACAGCAGTTTCAAAGTATGAATTTTTGAAATGACGTAAAATTTGAAAATGAGGGCGAGTATAAATGTCGAAACGACGCAGAAAACAATTCACAATTCTATCTAACAGCCACATGTTTTCAATCCTCGGCTCGTATCGCTATATGAGAATTTAGATTCAAGCTATTTGAATTAAAAAATTTCAATTTATCACCTCTGGGGAAAAACGTATAATACGTGATCAAGAATTCATCCGACATGAATTGCTAATTAATCGTCTGATGATCTAACGATTTCGTTTAGAGGTTGAATGAATTCCTTAGAACAGCCCGGTCACCTGAACAAATTTGCTACTTTCGAAGTGAACAATTCAATTTATTGCCTAACCTAACCTAAACCTGTCCCTACAACTATACATATGCCTATCCTCGTTCATCCTTCTGGTCCCACAGAAATTCTGCATCGTTCCCCACTCCAATCTTTCTATTTCACTGTTTCGCTGCGCTACCAGTATTCCTTCGGGCCTTCTCCTGATCCCACGGATTCCACATCTAACTCTATCTTTCTCTATTTCCTATTCTCTTTTGTTCTAACCTTCTCAGTGCTCTCTCTCTCTCTCTCTCTCTCTCTCTCTGTCGTTGCATTCATTCCTCTGTCCTCTCATTCTCTCCTGTGCGCTATCGTAGCTCGCTTTTATTTCCTACTCCGCTCTGTCCTGGTTCTATTATGCTTCTGTCTTTCTTTCACCGATCTCCCTTCACCGCCCGTTCGCCCTTCCGCAGCCAGCGCCGAGTTAAATTGTGCTGATTGATACATTCTCATCGCGGACACCGTTTCCTCCTTCCTCGCTGTTCGCTGCGTTTCTGCAGCGGCCGATGAAAGATCCGCCCGGGCTTTTTTTAAATCGCTTCTTCATCGTTTTTGAAGGATATATTTGTTCTTTTGTGAAAATATGGTGTGTCTGGTTGATCTTATTCTTCTTCTTCTTGTTTTCGACATTTTTGGGAAACATGGAGTATGCGATTACTAGTACGTTTTCACCACATCTCGTTTCTGGATTTTTTATAATAATTCCCAATGAAATAATTGCAGTAGACTTTAGTAACTCTATAGTCTTTTTCTATTTTCTGTTTTTTTTCTTTTCTCTACTGGATTCGATAATTGCCCTCGCCCCGTATAAAAAAGAAAAAAAACTTGAAATTCTTCGTGCTGTCCCTCGAAAACCAATAATTTCTAACTAGATTCACCTTGCAAAACAATTCTACACAAAACTATATATATATTTTTCTAAAAGTGGAGATAAATTCTAAGACTAAATTACAATTAGTTTGTGATTGTTCGAATATTCGAGATCTAGTCTCTAGTCGCGGCTTTGGAAGAATTTTATTTAAAGTTATTTACTTCTTAGAATTTAATTTTTTTTTTTTTTTTTTTT